CAAGCCACGCCTATCCTCTACTCTACAAGAGAACGAATCTACTTTACCAAGTGAACCTTATTTATTATTATTTATTGTCCAAGACACTGGTGTTCACCAAATCAAGAGCTTAAAATATGCTAAGCCCAACTATTATGTATCGACATGCCTCTGCCTTTTATTTAATTCTATCGGTAAATACTCATTTATATTTGCTTCATCTACATATGGTATGGTCCTATACGTTTACTGGCTCTGGTCATTGGTCTCTTTAGAAGTGCCGATTTTGCCTTTGGAAATGTAGATGTACGTTTTGGAGCTTTATATATTTTATTAGTTTTGTTTGTATATAGCATTGTAATATTGTAGCAATCTAGTTGATAATTGATCCTTTAAATCCTAAATTTAACTTGACTGATTCCATGCACAAGTCGTAGTTTTCGGTCCTTTGTGGGTTGTGCCCTTTTTAGCGATAACCAATGTTTTGCGAAGGTTTTGTGATCACAATTCTGAAATGTATTTTGTAAATGTCTGAAGCTGAAAAATGCTTATTGTAATACTATACAGTGTTTCTTTCTGTCTTGGTATGCAGACAAAATATTATGAAATAGCTTTATACAGGGGAGTATGAAATATACTATTTGGCAATATTGTAGCTAGTAAACTYTTGAAAGAGCAGCGGCTAAATTCTGCTAAGAAAAAGTTCAGATAATATAACAATGGGGGAAATGAAGTGATTTATCCTCAAAAACCTGATTTTTCTAAAGACCCCCCTTTAGAACTTAACTTAATTCTGAAAGCCCCCTCAAAACACCATTGTCAATTTTGTTAGAGCTTCCTCTTTCATATCCCAAAACATTTCAGTACCTCCCCCCTCCACCCGGCATATGAAATGAACTTTATCTAAAAAGCTCTTCTTGTTAGGCAATGACAAGGATTTGTAATAAGCGAGCACTTCTATTGAATGTCAGTATAAATGTTCTAGCTCTAGATTTAAAAAAACCTCACCCCAGGCTGCTCTCTTCGCTGTTCAGCATTACGTTCATCACGATCGTCACACATCAGCCTCTGCCACGCCAAATGCTTGAATAATGCTTGGTTTATGTATGGCGTGAAAAATGACGTGCTGTACGAAAGTAGACTTTGTACCC